AGTACCTCCAACTCAGTGGAAATTGGGTGATTCTGTTCATGTAAATCAGTAACACGTTGTAGTCTTCTTCAATATATGAAAAATAAATAACGCCTTTTGTTAAAATCCTTCACAGTGGCCTGGTTGGTGGCCACACTCCATGAATCTCAACAGTGAGGTGTCCACTGTGTAAAATTAAATCCTCCACAGATTTCCATGAAAGGGCTTGAAACTTGACACAAATATGTTAAAGTGATACAGTTGTACATATTGGAAAATGGGTCATGGTGGGTAATTTTTTTCAACATTTACAATTTTCTAATTTTAGCGGAAGCATAAATGTTTTACACTTTTTCTAATCCAACTTCGTATACTACAAATTGTGTACTAATAATACTCTTTCAGACCAGAATACATCAAACATATTTTCCTCTACCCTGTCTTCCTTGCGTCTGACATATGTATTCATTTGTGTTCAATATAAGCAACTGTAACACGTGGGACTATAATTTTTTAAATAAAGCCCAACATGTTTTGTGTTATAATGTACACATTTAGAAAACAATAGAGTAATATAGAACAATGTACATAATATATATAATGAGAGACTAACAGTGGAGAACGATGTGGTGAGGGGACAGCTTGATGGTAACTTGGGGGCGGAGTGGCAGATAGAGCATAAGATGGTGGCAATTCATTACTGGCACCTCCACCTACTCCTTGTGGACACAGTTGACTACCAACACTCTCACTTTGACCTTCAGTGTCTGTGGTCATTGTCAAGAGCTGGTCAATGGTTTCATGAACAGCCCCTTGGTTAGCTCGTAACACTGCCTGATAGAGAGGAATAACATCTTCAACTAAAGGCAAAACGAAAACTCAGCCAATTACTTTATATCTAACTTATGTTTACATCTTATTAATAAAGAGATATCTACAGAAACCCATCCATATAATTCTAAGTCCTTCTGTAGAGGTTTCAACAAGTCACACTTCAACAAATTAGAAACTATCCATGAAATACTGGTATTCACCTTAAACTTTAAATTGTGAATCCATAGTTACTTGGTGTTGGTTTACATTTAATTATACTGTACAGTGATCCCCTGCAAATATGATCCTTGACAGTCAATGATTCTTAAATAAGGAGGTTTTGTAGTTGGTTGAGCCGTGGATGTGTGGTGGAAAATTAAATACTGTACTGTAATGTTAAACCCCATAATACACCTGTATGTATCAATCCAATAGTATGCATTGTAGTTATATCTTTCCTTGTGCCTAAATTTTATAGTGAATCACAACATCCCAACTTCACCACAGTTGGGTCACCTCCATCGGTGAAGCCAGCTCACTTATCACTAATCGTAGACAGCCATCCTTGGAAGAGTTTGGTGGCAGGATCAATGTCAGTCACCATTCATCTCTATGTTAAGACTGTAACCACCCTCATTCCATATGTTATAATTCTCAGGTACAGTATATTTGTATCTTCTGTGCACTAGTTCTACTGTATATTATCTTATAATGGCTCCCAAGACACCTGTGCAACCATTTGGTGATGCTGCAGCAGCAAGAAATATTTAGAGATTTGGACCGAATTTGGCTGACCACATCACCATGGCCGACCAGTCACGGCCCAGGAAGCAGGGACAGCATTATTTATCATGCATCATTTACTTAGCTAAGACTATGTCACTGAGCTCCATGCATTATGTAGTATAACTTCTGTGCTGTGTTAGTATCTTCTGTGTACTATTTCTATGTGTACAGTTTTATACTGGCTCTGAAGTGTCCTTGGTAACCTCCGGTGAAGTTGTGGCTACAGAAGCAAGAATATAAGAGTCTTAATTCAGAAACTAAGCTAGAAACCATTCCTCCCATTGACTCACCTCCACGATCCCACACTATTTCCAAACTATCTACCAGTTGAATCTATTTATTTGTAGCATAATTCTTGTTATTCTACAATGAATGTGAATATTTACCCACCTTCACAACATTGTACTGTAATTTAGTTTAAAACCTTGTAGTGCGGGTGGGAAAATACATGTTTTCTAGGTACTGTACCTAATTATAATGTTCTATTTCCCAAAGAAAGATAATTTGCTGAAATATGACTTCAATCTTTTAAGACTATTTCATACTGAACCTTGAACATTTGCAAGGGACCACTGTAAAAGTAAATTCAAAGTAAAAAAAAAAGTAAAATCTAACTTGCTCAAAAGTTGCAAATATTGACATTATTCAGATACTGTACCACTAATGATTTAGTACTGTAAAACCTTGAGGTATGTACTGTACAATGATTCTGTGATTGAAATGTTCAGGGAAGATCTAAAGTTTTATCTTACTTTATAAACAGGACATACCATATTGGAGTTCAACAAAAGTATTGTATAGATAAAAATCATCTACAGTACATATTCCAATCTACTGAGACAGTCTTCTGTAAGCTACCACAGCTCACCTCTATAACATCAGCATCAACATCTGGGAACATGGTTTTGAAGTCTTCCATAGCCTGATGGAAGTCTAGTTGTGTGGCTTGACCCTCAACTGCCGCCATTCTTCCTCTAAAGCGGCTCCGGTGAGGGCGAAATTTTCTTCCACGAAGAATACTGACTGCCTATATGATTGGCAGCAAAAAACGTACTTACAGACTTATTGGTTTGACTATATAATTTCAAAGTCAACCATAAGAGTAAAAGTATTTCATGAAGAATATGACAATGACTGAGTTGGGGGTCTTGGTTATGCTTGGTGTTAGGCAGTTCCTATGGCAGTTCAAACTCTCTAGTCTCTACTTTGTTTAGAATTCTGATTAACTGCTCTCTCTCTCTCTCTCTCTATATATATATATTTTGTCAGTATATTTTGAGCAGCACTGATGTAGATTTCAGTGATAAATAAATAATATATGAGCATTTGAGTTCTAGCTATTATGCCTTTTCTAAGGAACTTTTAAGTACAGTACAACTATTCAGAAAAGTTGTTAACAAAACTGAAGGTTAACTCTATGTCCTATTTCTATAATTATCTTCAGATCCTTTATTATCACAGCCTTATCTCTTGAGATTCTGGAGTCTGCAGTTAGCTGTCACATTATCCCCAAGTTGAGTGGGCTCAAATGCCACACTGCACTCCACTTTAGCTACCCTACATGCTCCACTGCCAGTCTGGGAGGTACCCTAACCTGTAACACAAAAATTTACACAATTACACATCATAAGAATATTCCTGTTAAAAATGAGTCTCCTTTTTAAAACAGAAGAAAACCTCTTTTTAAAAAATGTACATGACACAGTTCTGTACATATTAAAATCACTCTTCATTGAAAAATTACCCAGAAGAGGAACACTATACAGTATAATTCTAGACATCATTTAAATACCTGTACCTGTAAATTTTTAATCAGACAATGACATACCAAGTAAAAAAACTGAATTTTGAAATCCCAAATTATACTTGAGGGTGTAAATGAGTTATCAGGACTTTCCAAAACACTTAATCCTACAAGACAGAACCTTCTTGTCATGATAAGATACATTACTCGGTAACTAAGATATCATATCATTCAAATCAACAATACAACTGCTGTAAATACTGTACAGATATTCACCCATTTAGATCTATTTTGACTGGCACTCAAAATTATAACTCTATGAAATAAGTAAGCAATTAAAGGTCAGGACTGATGTTACAGCCACTCTGGAAGTGTTAGATGCTTGATGCTTGAGTTTATAGTTTTCAATTAAATTCTAAAATAGTGGTTGAGTACTTCATGGTCTTTTAGGGATGATAATTCATCATTAATATAAGACTTGACACCTATGGAGTTCTCTTTCTCCAGTAAACTTCTACAAAACATTTTACTGTAGGTACTGTACGGTACTCTGCCACTCTCCTCTGACTAGATCAGCAGCACAGCATCATCAGCAAACAACAAATATGTCAACTTCCATTCTGTGTCATCATGTCTTAGCTTCATAACAATCACCCATAATTATTTTCATATCACCATTTGATTCATTTACAAAGGCATTAAAACACCAGAGTAGCATCACTCAATAGCTTTTCCAACCTACCATCCTCTTCCTCCTCCTCAAACCTAACCAAACCTCCAGTTTTAGTATGAAATTTGGTGTCTGGTTCCATGGAGAAGTTTTACCTGAAACCTCACATGAATGTTTTCAGACATACCATAATATTTATCTTATATAACAAGTAGCTGGTGTAAAGCGCTATTCTTGCACAAACTTGCATTATTGTTGTCAGCTCAACACAAATTCAAATAAGCAATTTTACCGTTAATTAACACAAAGTTTGCACTACATTAAAGGATAGAGGTTGTGAAGAAGGTCATATCTCTATTAGGTAATTTTCTTTTTTATGGAATCTTTACTGATACCATACAGTATACATTACTGTATTTAATTTAATTCAAAAGAGTAAAAATCTGGTGGGAATCCCCCAAAAATATTGCATATAGTACAGTATATATTGTTCTGGTATATCAAATGAAAATATACCATCTCAAATCTTTATAAGGTATTGGTGGTAATATATGTAGCTGTAGCATGCTTATTTCTCATCACTGTGACCCGAGTTCAATTTCTAGCCCAGGTATAGTACAGTACAGTACTCCGCTTTCCCCCGTATTATAACTGGACAATGAAGGCCATAAAAATTTAACAAAGAACAAACTGACTAAACAAGTAAAAAAAATTTGATGCACAGTGTAACACTAAAACATTTCTGAAAGCATGTTAGATTTGGCAAACTCAGCTAAGTTAGAGTTGGTTAAGTTAGCTATGCTGGTTAACTTTGCTAGGTTAGGTATGGTTGGTTAGTGTCACCTACTGTAAGAAATGGTTTAATGCTATAATGAACAAGAATAACATCCCTCATATGGATATCTAACAGATAATTTTCAGTAAATTCCAATTTGTGTTTATAGTACCTTGCTCTCCCCCACCAAATATACATTACATTAATTAAAACAAACATGTCAATAAAAATCCCCTTAAATAATTCAAATAAATCAGATGGAGACCTTCTTCGTCTTTTTAAACTTCATCCATTAAAGCAGCTCACACAAACAAAAAGAGAGATATACAGTACAGTACGTATTAGCCTCGAACAACATGGAGTAATGTGATGGCAGCCTTACACAAAGTGTCATGCAAGTTCAGCCCCTCACTTACTTGGACTGTTGTAATACTGACTTCACGAACACTTGAGTTGATGAGATGTTTTTCTCTGAAAGAACATCATCAAAATGCACCACTTGATGTACAGTATACATGTATTTGGTATTGGTTAAGAGGAGTGCCGCCCATTTAGTTTGATAAAAATGGTGTGATGATCTTGAAATCCCTTTTACTGATAAATCCTAGGCCAGGTAGCTTCTTGTAATAATTATACTGTACATTACTAGCAGCTATATTAGGGTTTTCAGTATCCTCAGACAAATTCCAATTATTCAGCCTAGACTAATATGGGTGCAATACAGTATGGTATTATGTATTAACAAGAAGGGTACATCAATCACTGCTTCCTCCCCCTCACACACATCAGTCCAAATGGGAAGATCATAACTGTCAATTCTTTAGCCTTCTGGCCTTCCCTTGCAAGAGAACAGTGATAATGGATCTGTAATAGGAGGAATTGGTTAGCCCTTCTAAGTATTCTTCTATTGATATCCTCCTTTGGGGAAGGTATGTTGGGTCTTATGGCTGGACAATGCAGGTACTGTACTGTACATCTAGAGCAAGGGGCTTGCAGTAACCCATTGTTTTCTAGAGTCCACAACCTGACTCACAGCAGGATGGACCATCATTAAGGTTAAGACCAACCATTACAAAATATGGGCAACAAAGAGATGTGGATGAAGGTACTGAGCCAGTGAGATTTTACATCACAGGGTGTGGGGCCATGTGGCTAGACACCCCAGCAAAACTGTGAGCCCTGACTTAGAAAGATTGGTAAACATGTGGCCTAATAACAGTCTTACTTAAATTATAACACCAAAAATTGCTGTAGTTCCTGTCAATAATCTTTGATGTATTGTTAAAGGAGCAGGAAACTTAGCTTTTTGTGGCAGATTGAAAGTCCAATAAAAAACCTAACTGTATGTCTGTTCTTGATCCTGAAGAAGATGGCAGAGTCATAGTTTTTGGAAGGAAATGTGTTAATTGATTAGATGCATGTACAGTAAGTGCCTCCTGTGTCTGTAGTGTAAGATAACTGTTACAGATGATCTCCCAATTCTGGGAAGGCAGTTATGATGGGGAGGTACCAACAGGTACCTTCTATTACAAAAAGCTGCCTGGCAAAGACCATAAACCACAAAATTTATACAGAAGTGAGAAGTTTCATTTTCCTTACTAAAATGAAAATTTGGTAATTCATAACTTTCAAAGCTAAACTAAATATTTCTTGAAAAAAGTGTATTGAAGGAACCGCCAACACTAAATTCACATTCTCTGGCAAATTAAAACAACCACTACTGAACTACTGTTCTGATTTTAGCCAGAACAGACCATTGTGCACTGCTAAAATTGGTAGTTAATACAGGTACTGTACTGTATTCAAGTTTAGGTTCTGACTGCAGCATCCAATAGTCATTTCCTATTTGAATCAGTTATTAGTCATTGATGATATGTTTTGATTCACTGGAAAAAGAGAACAGAGTTGGCAGCGGTGTAGGATGAAGATTATTTTCACTCTTTCATAATTTCCAATGCAGGTAGACCCAGACTTATAGATAGATCCCTGAATTATGGATTTTCAAAGATGCATTTTTTCTATCCAACGCATCGATTTACAGAAGAAAACCCCTGAATTACACAAATATTTTTGTATTTTTTTCATAACGCTGAAAGATGCAGAGGTGCTGATAATGGCATCTGGGATTGTCTCGTGCTGAACAAGAACAGTAAATAGTGCTGTCTAAGCCCTTGATGTGTGGAGATTTATTTCTGAAGAGCTTGTGGTGTATTTCCAGAGTATAGTACAGTAGACATAAGGATATTAACCAGGGAAACAAGATTGTTTTACACCTAACAGTAGCTATGTCTAAGTGATCAACAGTAACCCCATATCCACCACCATCCAGCCACACCATCACCTTGAGAACTGACCACCACAGTTTTTTGTAAGGAAAATATTGCTGTTTCTAATTTGGATTTACCTTAATTGTACTGTTTGTACTTTACTGTATAATTATGATTATTAATATCATTTAAAATTATTGTTTTCACTAAAAAAGTGCTTAAAACATGATTAATGTCAGTTTATTACCTGTATATGATGGATTTTGTTTTCTTCAAATTAAGGTACAGTACAGTGCCTCCTAAACTATAATGGTAGTCAGTGGGAAACTCCTCTTCAATTTACAGACAGTTTTCCTGGTGGAAAGCTGTATATAAGAAACACTTCTTCAATATAATTTATTTGGGAAATATTTAGTATAGTCATGAAAGCTCTGTTAATATTCCTTTCTTCTGTATTCTTGACATTTAGTGACACTTAGAGAACTACATGTGATGGGCCACGGGTGACGCTGGCTCACTTGATACACTTCTTCTCTGTAAGTTTCAATAATTTGTACAGCTACGGCATTCAAAATGATTAAGAAAAATAATAAACCTTTTGAACTTGGTTGATCAATAAAGGAGTTCAGTAACGGGCCGGGTTTGTGGAGTTATTCTGATAATGCATTACAGTACGGTACCAGTTACACCATTAACATCTTCTGACAAAATATTCTTTATAGTTTCTAGGATTACCAGTAACTTCCATTTTCAGCAGCAATAGTATGAGCTTACCTTACTGAACTTATTTACCATCACATTAAATAAGCCTGAGAATATAACTGCTTCACTGTTGTTAACATTTGAAATCTGTGAGTCTACATCATTTAATAATTTATAAAAGTTACCACACACTAAACTAGCTTTACCTAACTTACTTAAAAAATACAGTAACTTACGAGCATTATGTCAGGTCAGTTTAACACAGCACTCTCTGGGAGCCAACAACAGTCACACACTCATATTCTTACAACTCACACAATTCTCAGTAACTTCTGTCAGATCCTATGTATTTTTATTGAAGATGGTTATTTGACCGGGATTTCTGGCCAAATAACCATCGACTATTTGACTGGGATCTGCAGGTATTGTGTATGAATTTACTTTGATTTTAAAGGGATTCTGGTCGGGATGGCTGTGGGCATTACACGAGTCATTACACTATCATTTACATGTTGAATTCTTTATCACTATCTTCTCTCATGGTTAGGTTAGGTCAAAGCAACAATTTTTGAGGTCTATACGTTCCCGGTCAAATAACACCTGCCTTTTTTTTCAGCTTCAGAGAAATAACTTTCAAGATACACTTTACTAGGAAAATTTGGGTAACAAATTTCACTTGTGTAATGCAGTATGTACTAAGAAAAGACAACTAAATGAAACTTTTATTGGGAATATCCTGCCAAGTATTCCAGCACATATGGGTATTCTCACCAAACTCTGTACTGAATATTTTTACTAACTTTTCCTAGAGAATGTGTACGACATACCATCACCATAATACTCTTTCCGAACATGCAAAAGATACAATTTAAATTCACAAACATTCTGACATGAGGAATGTGCTTGTCTTAAACAATGTGATTCACGAAACTTGATTCCTATTAACATGAGTCTCACGTTTCAACAACAATGTGTACATGTGAGCCAACAATTCTGATATAATGTGTAACTTTTAACATGGATAATAACCAACTATACTGTATAAATGACAGTATTTACAGATGATATCATGAAGACAGGACCTGGGTGTCACCAGTAATGTGACAGAAGTTTGACACACAGTTGACAGCTGATTCTACAAGTCATGCCTACACACTCACCTACAACACGTTCATTATACTCACAGCATATTAATTTTTCATCTTATTAAGTGCCGCCATAAACGTTATAAATTTCGTTTATGTGACTGTCATAAACATGTAGTGTAATGAAAAAGGAGAATGTATGTTAGATTCTTTACCTCCTCCTCCAGCCAGCGTCGTCTGCTTCTCCTATGTTGTCAAATATTGATATTTTATCAGCAAGTAGGAAACTCCAGTGCTTCTTCGGGCCCTTTCCCTTACTACGCTATATTTTTACTGTATTGTGGATTTATTTACTAACTACGCATAGAAAAATATAATAATTTTGATAAAAAAATATTTTAATGTTAGAATTTGTTCATTTTATTAACCAAACATTCTAAAGACTATAAACATTTATACTACTCAAGAAGAATATTAGTAAGAGAAAACGATCTTTCAGGTATGGCTTTATTATATGTATTCAGAGTTGATTAATAAAATGAACAGTATACAATATAACATACAATATAACATCTAACTTGAACGTTTATTACATTATCAGATTACATCATTTGACCAGTGACCATAATGGAAGGTCTTCTGACTTTTTGTGTTATCCGCGGATTTCTATAATAATTAATAATTAGTCAATTTGACCAAAAACAACTTAAAACCTATATGCTTATTTCCAGTAGAATATTTATACCAACAGCATCTGGTGTTCTTAGAGCCAACGTAATATTATGATGAGTGTTTACTTATAGTTGTTTGTTTATACCCCACACTGTATTTTATTGTACATATGTTCCTGGTCGGGGATTGATGCCACTGAGGACACACTGTTGAGAAGTAATTAAGCAACCTAGTTTGTATCTCCAAAACAATCTTGCATGGTCATCCCAGTCCCTGAGATATGCTAGAGATTGTATGTTGATTGTAAATGTCCAAAGGAGGGCCACCAGACTGGTGCTTGCACTACGGCACCTCAGGTACCCAGAGAGATATGAATGCCTGCAATTGCGAAGCTTATACTATAGGCGGGTGAGGGGTGACTTAATAGAAGTCTATAAATACACCAACGTACATTACTTGGTCAAGACGTGTTTATACATGGAGCTAGCTGATGCCCGCCCCACTAGGGGTCACAGCTTAAAGGTTGAAGTGGATAAAAATTGTCAGGGCAAACTTTTTTGAAGCGAAGGTTGTGAACTCTAGGAACAATCTGCCAGCGAGCGTTGTGACGGTACCGAGTGGGAGTTCATTGGAGACCAGACCTGACTAACTCACAGGTGATCTTCTGGTTAAGCACAGCTAGTTGGTGGACACTTATAGGATTAAGTAATAAATAAATGGAAAAAAAGTACCTCAGTATCTATCTAATAATAACCTGTAGAAAAAGGGGAAGAAAAGTTCTCGTTTTATTTTTCGTAGGCCCCCAATATCTCGTAGGCCCTAGGCACTGTGCCTACTGTGCCTAACGGATAATCCGGGACTGAGACGGGCAAGGGGGGACCTAGTTGAGGTGTATAAGCATCTCAGGGGGCACTACTCAGTTGAGTGTCCTTACTTGGAGCTGGCGGACGCTCGCCCCACAAGGGGTCACAGCTCAAGATTGAAGAAGCCGCAAGTCCAGAAAACTTTTTCGGAGAGGGTTGCAAACTCTTGGAACAATCTACCAGAGAGTGTTGTGACGGCACCGAGTGTGAGCTCTTTCAAGACAAGACTTGACCAACACTGGAGCGTGTTCAGGTACATTCAGGAGCCGGTGCATGCCCAGTAATTGCCAACAGTGCGTGACAGAGACGTGACCGATCGCCCGGATGGCTAGCGAGCCGATCTTTTGGTGAAGAAGATAAATGAAAAGGAAAAGTAATCAAAGACGTGACCGATCGCCCAAGCAGCTAACGAGCCGATAAGTGGCGAAGAGGATAAAAGTAAAAGTAAAAGTATATTAGAAAAATGTCTTAGAATTGTGTAAACATTACGAAATACACATTAATAACTCACAGATACTCACAGATGATCTTCTGGAAGAGGCTCACGCCTGTGACTCCAGCTCAATAGCCTCTTCTCTACTCAGACGGTGGCTGTGTGTGGCGGATATTTGTGCCCTATAATTATATAGGCTACTTGTTGTTGATTTTTCCAGTATTTATCCAATTTTGCTTCAAACTTTTCCACCATCTCCACATTCACGACCCACTCAGGTAACCCATTCCAGTTGTTGACAATCCTACTTGGGAACCAATGTCTTCTGAGATTTAGCCTCGCTCTTGTTTTGTAGATCTTCTTTGTGTTCCCCCGGGTAGTGTCATCCTCCCTCATCTGGAACATTCCTGCTGTACATGCCTGGTCATACATGCCACACACTATCTTGTATGTTTCCACTTGGTCCCCACGAGATCTGCTGTACGCCAGTGTCGGTAACTGTAATTTCCTTAGTCTTTCCTCATAAGATAAATCGTTGATCTGTGGTACTAATTTGGTAGCCCTCCTCTGTACATTCTCTACTGCTTCAATATCCTTAATGAGATATGGGCACCAAATTTTATTAGCATACTCAAGGTGTGGCCTAACCAGAGCAGTGTACAGAGCCTTGAATATAGGTGCATCCAGATGAACAAAAGTTCTTCTAATAATGCCCACTATTTTATTAGCCTTGATGATTTTCTCAGCTAGATGGTCAGAAAACGTCAGCTTATCATCGATGACTACCCCTATATCCTTCTCTACAGTGGTCTTCTTGATCGTGGTGTACATATGATATCCCTGGTCAGCAACTTTTGTTCTTCCTATCCTCATGTATTTACTTTTTTCTGGGTGAAAGTTCAGCATCCACTTCTCAGTCCAACCCCTGATCCCATCCAGTGTAAAATTATAAATTCACTGATAACATTACCAACAATATTAGTTGTATAAAGTGGGCAGGGCTTTGAAGTAGAGGGAGAATGTGGGGGTAAAACACTAAAAATAACATTAAACAAAATTTGAAAATCCGTCCCAACGTTTCCTAACCTTTAAAATTACTAAAACTATAAAAGTTTACCTTATTAATTTTTTTGGTGTTTGGAAGTTAATGGTGTTGTTTTTGGTTTTTAGTAAATGTTATTGTGTTCGGTGTTCAGATGAGGAAGGATTCATAAACTTTAAAGTGGTTCTTTTTACAAGTTAGTAAACGTTACATCATAAGAGCATAAAGATCATCTTAGTGATGTGAATGTGTAAATCAATGTAGGATTTTTAAAGTTATTCGCGATTATTTATTGAAAAACGCTCTACTGACCAAAGGAAGAGGCCGAGAGGCAGTCCGACTAATTACCTAAATGTACTCGCTCCTTCGGTACATGCACGCGATCTATTAACTCAGATTAAATTAAGTTTACCAATTTTTTGTGACTTCGTGACACCAAATACTAGGCGAGAAGTGATTGGCAGTCCGATTTATTCATGTAGGACCATTATTTGATTTCATTGCGGCTACATATCCCTCCTCCTAGTCACTAGGGACCTGCCACTCTTTGCCATAAACAGATAAAATGTACCGGGAACTTTCCCCCCCACACACTCATCATTCTCTCACTTTATGTAACTTGACAAAATCTATGACCTTTCAGGCTTTTACGCCCTTAATGTACGAGTCATAAAGACAAGTATGAACTTTTCATACTTCCCTGTTGGGCGCTGTAAACCCTTCACCTTGCACAGGATGTAAGGGGGTGCCCAATAAACTAGCCCCCTCGGGGGCAAATCTGAATCTGATTGCGGCTACATTTGGGTTCATTTGGGTAATTAGTGGGACCCGCCGAGAGGTATACAACCACAAAATCATTGTCATATGAAAGGATTTATTCAGAAAAGTTTAATTGAGTTGTGTTCAAGGCTGTGTTTGACCATCCAAAGGCTGATTAGAGAGTAGTATTGTGCCTTCAGCTAAGACAGTTCATAGTGACAACAGTGACCACGGTGGAAGCTGAAAATCAATTGAAGTGAAAAACAAAGTTTAATATATGGGACTAACCCTCAGACGAGTTATTTGTATTACTGTTTCTTTATTTTCATCAGTGAGTTCTTATATGGTATCATTTCCTGTGCAAATGTTTCGTTTTGTAGATAATTAGGTGCCTAGGCGTGCACTAATTTGGTTAATATATAGGACTAACCCGCCGGGCGGGTCCGACTAATTACCCAAATGTACCCAAATGTAGCCGCAATTAAGTCAAATAATGGTCCTTGGTCCTACATGAATAAATCGGACTGCCAATCACTGCTCGACTAGTATTTGGTGTCAAAATAAAAAAAAATTGGAAAACTTACTTTAATCTGAGTTAATAGATCGCGTGCATGTACCAAGGGAGCGAGTAATTACCCAAATGTAGCCGCAATGAAGTCAAATGATGGTCCTACAAGAATAAATCGGACTGCCAATCACTTCTCGACTAGTATTTGGTGTCACGAAGTCACAAAAAATTGGTAAACTTAATTTAATCTGAGTTAATAGATCGAGTGCATGTACCTAACCTAACCTAACCTAACCTAGCCTAACCTAACCTAACCTAACCTTGACTAGTATTTGGTGTCACGAAGTCACAAAAAATTGGTAAACTTAATTTAATCTGAGTTAATAGATCGAGTGCATGTACCTAATCTAACCTAACCTAACCTAACACAAAGATTAAATTAAGTTTACCAATTTTTTGTGACTTTATGACAACAAATAATAATCAAGAAGTGATTCACAGCCCGATTTACGCTTGTAGGACCATCATTTGACTTCATTGTGGCTACATTTGGGTACATTTGGGTAATTACTCGCTCCCTTGGTACATGCACGCGATCTATTAACTCAGATTAAGGTAAGTTTTCCAATTTTTTTTTACTTTGTGACATCAAATGCTAGTCGAGAAGTGATTGGCAGTCCGATTTATTCATGTAGGACCATTATTTGACTTAATTGCGGCTACATTTGGGTAATTAGTCGGACCTCCGCCGGGCTGCATAGCACCGATGCGGCCGTATCATCTCGCGTCCAGAAATGCCTCAAATTTCACCATATCATAGTAAGTTCTTTCTGTTTAATATACCGGGGAAGTTAGGTAAGGTTAGGTAGGTTTGTTTGGCTTAAGTTGGTTGGTTAGGTCTGTTCTTCATACCCACAAATGTTAAATAGCGTTTATTTTAAAAAATATCCATTTTTTAACATATTTCTACAAACTA